TTCAGCGTCCACGCGCTTGGTCGATCGGACCGAGCGTGGTGACGAGGTGCCTGTCGATACCGGTCGGCGCCGCTTCTCCGTTCGTCAAGCTGCGTCGCAAACTCGTGGTGCTGTGCGCTACCCTCGCGGTGGTTTCTCTGAGCGTTTACGGCGGTATACGCTCTTGTGCACGGTTATTTCGGTTTGGTGACATTAATATTCACCTGGTCCGCCCACGACTGTTAAACGTTTCCCCTCTTTGTTGACCCCAGCGTTTAGACGAAATGCCCGTCGAGACCAGAGGAAGGTTTTTTGGTCACCACTTCTTCGTTCGTAAAGTTGCGTCGCAAACTTGTAGTGGCGGGACCTTCCCTCGTGATAGTTTTTGTGGGCGGCGTGAGCATGCTGTGCTCACCAGCGCTCGAGTGACGCCACCGTTTGCTGCCTCACCGGTTTTCGTTTACTCTGTTGGGGTTATTAAACGAAGCATGCCTACTGAAACGTCCCCTTTTAATAGGTATTTATCCGTGTGTGTAATGTGGTGTTCCGGTAAAGTATCGTAGTTTTCGATTAGTCGCGTGGTAAATGAGATAAGAAATATGATTCCCTTGTACTACCACTGTCGCGCATTGTGACTTCGTGGTAGCAAATTACAATCGTGCACTGCCATAACCCTTTTAGTTTCGACGACAGGGAGTAGAAACCGGCCGAGGGTATCGGCACGACGGTGCCGATACCCTCGACCGGCAATGACCTTCGTGCCTCTGATCGACATTGCCGATGTCACCACTACGCGGAGCTGAAGACATGCTATTCTTTTTTGACATTGAAGGCACTTGTAGCGGCCGGCATTACACTGTGGCCGCGAAGTACCTCTGCCAGCCTCCGTCTCCCAACGTATCCTCTCCCTCCTTCACTCGTATTCTGAATAAGCCCATGTTTTCTGTGGAACCACTCAAATCAATCACGTAACACCTCTGTCCGTATTTCGTGCGCCGGAACAGGTGACTTTTTTTTTTTACATGTTCAGGCATGCGAATCGTGAATATCCGTCTTTTAAAACGGCGTTTAAACAACTGTATTCACACCTGCAACCTTTCACCACTTCGACACAGATCTTAACGCGTCTCTCCTTCAGAGCGAGCATTAATTGGTCAGTATGTTAAATACATGTTTCGTAAAAAAACATCATTGTTGCATCCTCAGGTCAGTGGTCCTCACTTGTAGTTCTCATCGTATCATGGAGAGTTTTGCGTGGATTTCAGACGCCTCAATGAAGTCGCCAAAAAGGACGTGTATCCCCTTCGCCGAATCGATGACGCTTTAGACACCTTGCAAAGATCTGAATACTGTTCTTATTCAGACTTACGTTCCGGATGTTGACAGAAACCGATATATGAGCAGGATCGATCAAAAAACAGCTTTCATCACTATTGACGGACTCCATGAATTCAAAGTCGTATCGGTTTGTACATGCAACGCTCCTGTAACGATCGAGAGAATCATGGATGATTTATTGAGAGGTTTAAATGGCAAAGCTGCCGGCTTTATATGGACGATTTTTTTTATCTACTCCGCAGCATTTGAAGAACATCTCTCACGATTGCACTTTGTCCTGGAATGCATTAAAACAGCAGGCCTCCAACTTAGCTCCAAGAAATGCCCTGACGCTTGCCGCCAAATCAAGATCTTGGGACACACTGCCAGCGCACACTGTAGACGTCCTGACCCCACCAAAATAAAAGCTCTCTCCGAATTTCTCCGCCCACTCAACGTCAAACAACTGAAATGCTTCTTGGACCTTTGCTCATACGTTGGACTCTTCACTCAGCATTTCGCTGTCCGGGCAGCACCTCCTGCTCACCTTCTCTTCAAGAAGAGGCCACTCGAATGAACGGAATATCAGGATATATCTTTTAGTTCCTTGAAGTTATACTTAAATGGTGATCAAATTGTATGTCATTTGGACCCTCGCTCTCCCTCAGAAATGCATTTGGACGCAAGCGGATATAGAATAAGCGCAGTCCTCATAGAGAAAAAAAAAGTAGGAGCCCGCCATCGTGTACGCTAGCCGCGCACTTACTAAAGCGGAAATGAATTACTACGCCACATAGAAGGAGTATCTGGTTATAATATGGGCCATAACTAAGTTCAAAGCAAACCTCTTTGGACTTCGCTTTCGTAAAGTCACTGACCACAACACCCTCTGCTGGTTGTCAAAGATCAAGGATCCATCAGCAAATCTTGCTGGACGGTCACTTCGTCTACTGGAATATGATATCTAGGTAGTCTACAACGCAGGCCGCGCTCACCAAGACGCTGACGCTTTGTCTCGCTGCCCTCTACAATCTACCACTCGCGATGACGATGATGCCACTAAGATACCTCTTCAAGAACATTCTGCAGAGATTGACATCTCCACGGAACAACGAAACGATCCAAAACTGCAAAGTGTTATCGAACTTTTGAATCATACTTTTCCACGAAATAGAGCAGCGAAAATTGCAAATATATATATGCATATACACAGTTTACCGTGTTTTATATCATCGTAATTATCAGCCCACAAGACAACCACTCCTTCTTGTGATTCCCCAGCATTTACACTCTGACATACTTATCTCTCTCTCTCCATGATGACTAAACCGCCGGACATCTGTGTGTTTATCGCGCATACAACCCGGCCCCTTCTCGCTTTTTCCGGTTTGGCTTATGCAAAGAGTATCCACAGGTATGTCACGCCATGAGTAGCTTCCCACCTCCGTAAAACATTTTCACTCGCACCAGCGGGCCATGTTCGTTCCATTCAGCCACCTACCCACCCCTTTGAAAGTGTTAACAGTTTGCTTGAGTCCAAAAAAAAAAGAAACATGGATAATCGTTACCGTCAAACAGTGATTGTGTCCACGGTACTTGGAAACCCAAGCACTCGCGGCACGTAATGCAAAAAGAGGTAGCCTCATTTTTTCTTCACATCATCGTTCTCAAACACGGATACCCAGGAAAACTTTCCAGCGATCGAGGTCGTGTCTTGCTATCTGCAGTAAATCAGAACATTCCTCGATACTGCCGCCCCACCCATTGTGCCACAACCACCTACCACACGAATATCACTTTAAAGGGTCGCCTGCTGCGCAGTTCCATATCAAACAAACTCCGATTAACTGTATGTTGGGACACACTTGTACCTAGACCTACAATGCATCTAAATGTCAGTTGAACCACAGTTGAACCACAGGAATCCGCTAATACTGTATCACTAAGCAATGAAAACCTTCGTTGATAATGCAATTCCTGCAAAGATGCAAGCAATCTGGGCAAGAATGACGATAATAATCTCTGGAAAATTGGAACAATGACGCAAACGACAAACAAAACTTTTTAAGGACAGGTAGGTGACTGGCGCGTGACCGAAAAAAGCCGCATGGTCCTGGTATCAAACCAGAAACCTCTTCATTTCCAGTGGCGCGCTATACAAACTGAGTTAACCAGGAGTTAGACGTCAGTAGAGCAAACGGGGTTCATCACCTGCCGCCAGCCTAACACCAACAAGGATGAACGGCCTGCACTTTAATGGCCTATTCGTCTGGGGCAAACCGCACCCGTCCAGTGCAGTAAACTCCTTCCACTTTAGTACGCGAAAGACTGGTGGAAAGAGAAGGAAGCTCCCCTCTCCCCTCTAGCCTTCCGTGTACCACGAACCGCACTGCACCGGTGCGATGCGGGGCCCAAACGAATTGGTCATAAGGCTATTATGATAATTTAACTAATCCAAAGGTGCAAGCTGTGTTTGGAGATTCGTGCTGCCCTTTGCCCTTGTCCAGAGATTATGATCGTCAAACCTTTCACATCTCCATACGGTGATGATGCGTGGAAGTGCAAAACACCGGTGTCTACTAACCGTTTCAGCTTCGTTCTTCCACTTTAAAGGTAATAACAACAGCAGCTCACGAAAGCCCGAAAAAATATTGAAGTTTACATGATACTTGCTTTGAACCGCCGGGTCATCACGATCTGCACTCTGTCAGTCACCTAAATCAAGAGCCTTTTCTAAAACACGCGCACATAGTCTGCAAAATGATCCCTCTGTGCCCCGGCAGCCGTTAACTACCATCAACATCAGCAAGTAGTAGATAAAGCGAACGGCGCGTCAGCTAAGCGCGCTCTTTGACACATTGTGGGTGCGTTCATAATGTTTTGGCTGATCACGGTAGGGAAGAGCGTTCAAACGAAGGTTTTCAAGTTAAAGCATATAAAGAACTGAGCGTCTCGACCCTATAATAAACTTCAAGACAATTCATGATTTGCACTTTGCTTTATCTCCTAAGTCAGAAAAGCCTGATTTTTTACCCACAAACCGTAACAGCAATTCATAGGATTATACAAGTCAGCTCAGGTCCACATTGTCTTAGTATCCTGAAAATACAAAGCACTATTAAGCCATATCTGGAATTTCATTATGTTATGTGATCAAAGTAATGCTTTAATTTTAAAGACACATAGTTAAATCATGCAACATGTCAGGAAAACTAAGCTAAAGTTCTAGTTTGCGGATAGCAAAATGGTTTGAATGAATCTTAGAAACAACATGCTACGACAGCAGATTTCGGTACTTTATACGGCTAGTCAATGAATCCAAAATTCTTCTAGAAAAACTAGCTACGTTATGCCAGCATGCAGTGTTTTCCGTTCAATGTATCCTGAATCAGAGTATAGTTCGTTCGCCATCGTACCACTTAATTGTTGCTTGACATCAAGATCGCAAAAAGCTGTAAACTCTGAAACCCACTACATAAATCTTAATGTTGTAGGAATATAAACAACTTTTGTTTCCGGTATAGGTAGAATATTGAGCCCATTACTTAATCTTCAGAAATTTGTAATATTAGATTATTCTACTTAGGAAAAATATAACCAAGTCCACTACAGATTCCAACTGGCCACCCACAATCTGTTAAAGCTTGTAACATTCAATTTATTGAAATTGAAATCATAGAACAAAATATCTGGAAAAGGTGAGGGGAAGCATTGCAGAGGATGAACGGCACTAGAGACAGATGCGGAAGACAAGTGTAAACCGTTTACACTGATCTTTGTATGTACATTGGAGCAATCCTTCAATAAAATGAATCATTGCAACCAATAAGGACAATGCTATTTAAGGTTAAAGGTCAACTCTAAGAGCTCTTAGATTTGTCAAGGGTGTAGGTGAGGGGAGCGCGGGAAAGAGCGACGGCAATGGGGGCCACACGCTGGGCGGTGGTGTAGGAGACGGGTGTCTGGATAGCGTGCACCACTGGGACCTGCTGGGCAACCTTGACTACGACAGGAGAAGCTTTGACTTCGACGGGGGCTGGGGCCTCCACGGAGGCAGAGACGATCTGGGCATCGGCTGGGTTGGAAGACTTGGTGCCTGGCTCGTTGGTCTCGATGGTCACGTGGAAACCTTCGGCGTCGGCGACGTACTTCACGGTACGCTGGATGCCATATGGGTCGGTGTAGCTGTAGGATCCAGTCTTGACGTTGTTCTCATCTCCGGTCTCTTGCTGGGTGATGCGAGTGCCGTTTTCGTTGGTGCTGTCGAAGCCGAAGCTGTAAGGTTGTGGTGGCTGCACGCGGGTGGTAAGGGAACGGTTGATTGGCAAGGGGTGGGGGAAGAATAAAGTTAGGAATTATTTTTATACTTTTTCGGCTAATTTAGAAAGCTATGTTGTAGTGTCTGTTCTATATGTGTGAAAGATTCAATTAGCATAAAGCTTGAGGTCATAGAGCTGATAAAGTGGCACTTCTCAGGATCTGGTAATGATATCATAAATAAAATTTAACAAAACAAAAAAAGTTGATTGTCTTACTATTTCAAAATTGTGTTTCTAGTTAAACATCTATTAATTTACAAAAACAGAATGTTAGGGCTATGCCAGACAATTTAACAAAAATATCTGCTGACGTTTTTTTTTTTTTTTTTTTTTTTTTACATTTAGAAAGTTTGTGTTAACAACAAAACGAAGCAAAATACTATGAATAAGTCTTACCGGTTCAACTTCAACGTGCTGGGAAGCCACGCACACGACGAAGCAGCACAAAAGCACCTGAAAAATAACATTACCATATTGACCTCCTCTCAAAATTTAAATGAAATCTCGAGATAGATAACATGCTCATCAAATAATAGCACTATAATCTAATAGCGCACCTTGCTGAACATTGCGAAATAGATGTCTCCTCTTGCAGAGATGCTGAGTGGATTGTGATCTCCGGATCTCTAAGTGGCTTTTATACTCGGCTTCCAGGTAGGTTCATAATAAGTGAAACCAATACGTATGTACAACTTTTTAGCACAATTGGACGATTTCAGAATTTTAATGCAGCGTTTCCGTCAAAGGTCAACGATACGTAGTGCTCTATTTTATATTTACCCAGAGATTATTCTTGTCAGCTTCTAGCGATGCCAAAAACCAGAAATTCCAATTAATAGACAACGAAAGCGACTATAGCATTGTAATTCAAAGCGGCTTCATTAAAAGCCGCGTATATTGACCTCTCTTTGCTGTTACCCCGATCATTTTCCTCGTAAGATTTCTTGTTTTCCTTTAAGGGCAAAATGAAGATTTGAATGCAAAATTGAAAATGTTGTCACTTTAATTCTCCGGATAAAAAATGCAAATATTGTACAATAAGCAAATTACATTGACAGGAGTTTACGTTGCGTAGTCCTCATGTGTTCTTTGAGTAATCGATAAGCCATCGGCGACAACAAAAACAAAAAAAAAGATGAAAAACACATTTTTTTCAGATTTATTTTCATGTAGTTGATAACGCGTCAATTATTTCGCCTGCGTTGTTTTTGTTTTTTTTGTTTTCTTTTGTGGTGCAAATTATTTATCCGGTAACTGAGTGCCATTATTTCCAATGCGAAATCAGGTATAAAAGCTTAAACCTTTCTGAGCTCAATGTCGGTTATGGTTTCGTGACTATAGAGAATAAATTTCAATGAATTAGCTATTTCCAATTTTTTGTTCGTCGGTTTATTATTCTAATTAGCTGGAAGTAATACACCTAGACGCACAGGGAAAACGCAAATAATATAAATTACACCTCAGTGACATTCATCTCTATCTATGACAGCCGATGCGCCTCTAAAATAAGATAAAATAACTCTGTTAGGATATGACGCACTCTATAAAATTAAATATATGTGTCCTGTTTACTTGTAGAATCTGTAAGCAGTGTTCACCCTTTCCTTTTACATCATGAAGCGGCTGGCAATATTGTAAATAAAGAGATAAACAACCGAACGAACAAACATTCGTGCCTCGAATAAAATACTTTTCAACAGTTGCTGGAACAAAACATTTTGTGTTTTTTCCTAAAACGTGAAGCAACGAGATAAAACTTAATTTATATTTGATTACATCTCTAGCCTACATGTAGAAAACAGTATGTCTTCTTCATTGCGTGCTAGTGAAGTTATATATATATATATATATTATTCAATCCATCATACAACTCTAAAATGTGTCACCTAGTCAAGGTATACGGTACACGTAGCAGGGCGCGTTGGATAGACTACAGTTCACACGTCTATTTTCAGTGTTTTTTATACTTTCTGTGTTAGCTGTAGTCAAGGTATACGGCCTTCAAATTCGTCTGCTTTCTGCGAAACTCGTGCGTATATTTACCCACCAAACCTGTCGAGGTGCTTTTGTTTCTACCTGCCTCAATCATTGACGCCGCGCGCTTGGCCTGCCTCATCAGGCGTTCCCTACGCATTCTCAATGGTGCCCTTTAAGTGTCATGCTCCTCCTTGCGTTCCGATGCACGAATGATGCATTTTGCGAGACTTGCTCGCCGTATAAAGTGCAAAAAAATAACTTCATTATCATAAAGTTATTGTTATGGACAGTGCAATGACAGCTTTACATTGCATAGAGTACAATGATCGAGTATCACAGCCATCGATATCACAGGAAATAATATATTTCCAAGGCAAACTAAATCTTTTTTTCCCTAATTATACTAAACGTGTTCGAAGAAAAGCTTCATGAATATAGCAAAAAGGAAACAGGTTAACTTCAGTATCTATGCTCCGGCCAAGCACGAAGAAATAAGGGGCCACGCGTAAACAAATATCTTCGCCAAGTATGAAACGTTTGGCCCGTTGGTGATGCGTAATATTTATAACTTTAGATGTAGCGCAGACATGCCGCTGCCTGAATGAACGTTTGAGGGAGCATCAATACAACGTACATACAATCATATCAGGGCATCTCAGCGTGCACTGCAAGAATTCTAATTCTGCCCCAATGTTCACTGACAAGGACGTACTAAACAAAAGTAGAAAAAAGATTAAGCGGGAGATACTTGAGGCTAGAGAAGTTAGTAGTTTGAGACTGCAGTGCGTCAGCACCCGCTCCGTGTCATTGACAGATAAAGAAATACATTTTGGAGACCGAAGGAGAGAAGTGCGTGTTACTGTCGATGAGTGTTATAACAATATGTTTGCTTTTAAACGGTGTATACCTGGGTTTCTTCAAAGGATATTTTTTGTGACACCGGTTATATATATTAAGTGACTAAGGAAACAAAGTTCAGTTCTAAGTTAGCGCTGTCTCTCTGTGCGTCTTCGTTGTTCGTATCTTGTTGCGCTTTTTAAATATTATATCATGGTGCCGAATTTTTTTTCTTTTTTTCTTAAATTGGGCATGGTGTTCCGTTTAAGTGTAGTTCCCAAAATACGAATATTCTGTAAAAATATCTTTATTTCTTGGGTGGCGACAGATACATACCGGTTTCATGGATATTTCACTCATTATCTTTCGCTTATATTGCTTCTTAATTTGAATTTTACGTTTGCGTAATTATACATTCACACTTAGATATGTTTTCTTTTGTTTTCGTCTTAATTCTGAGATGAGATGAATGTATAACTATGTGCCTGTTCAAGTGTTTATCTACTTTTTTTTTTAAATATCCCCACTTTTTGTTTTATTCTGGCCTCTCTTTTCAAGTCACTATAAGTAAATCGTGCATCCTTGCCCATTGCCCTGCCTCGTCATCCAGTACTACCTGGGATAAATTATTTAAGTAAAACCAAAACACCTGTCTTCCTTAATTAGAGTTCTTAAACCAAGCATAACCTTATTTATATGGAGCAAGTTTCCAATGTAAAAACAAACGGTAAATCTACTTGTTTAAAAAAAAATGACGAACGTTCCTTTGTATTGTTTAGCTTCTGTCAGCAAAGAATTTTCCCAAAACAAAATTAGGAAGGTCATCACGCAGGTCGTGTTTTTTTAAAACACGTTTATTTCTTGAACAACACAGAGTAAAAGACTAAACAGCAGCGACACGTGTTTTCACCAATAAACAGGTATTATAGAAACAGGACTTCGCACGACAGGCCACAAAACACTCCCGCAATCCATATTAACACACAAAGCCAACAGAAAAATGGGACGGACAGTTCACGACCGGGCAAGTCAGAGGAAGATGAAAACGAAACAATCGCTTTGAGCAGCTTAGTAATTTAGACGGACAGAAATTCGAATCGAGGCGTCCCCCAAGACACGCCCCGGGCATTTTTAGACGAGATGATCAACCAGGAAGCATCAAAGTGGCCGTGTATCCTGGTTCCCGCACAGAACGGCTTTTTCACGACTCAGAAGGAAGGACGGTGCTCGGCAAATATAAAGAAGAAAGAGGCCTCCGAAGTCGTCGTCGAGGATCGCTTCAGAACTGGGACGAATTTAGCGGCTCTTTGCTTTTCCCAGGGTGTACGTCAACGGGGCGTGCGTCAGCTGCACCGGGTGATGGGCGGTCGCGTACGAGATTGGCGCTGCATGGAGAGCGACAGTGCCGCCGCCGGTGTGGACGGCGTGAAGTACCGGAGTTCCACCAGCCTGGACAGCGTGCACAACCGGAGCCGAGTGCACGGCGTGGACTACAGGTGCGGCCTGCAGGGCGTGGACTACCGGTGTTGCCTGAACGGCGTGGACGACAGGTGCTGCCTGAACGGCGTGTACGACAACAGGCCTAGCCGGGGCCGGGCTGGCGGGGGCGACATAGTCGGGAGCGTTCGAGATGTATTCGGCATCCCCGGTCACGTGGCTCTTGGTACCGGGCTCGTTGGTTTCGACGGTGGCGCGGAAACCGTTCTCGTCGGCGACGTATTTGACGGTACGGGCGACGCCATTGGCGTCCGTGTAGCTGTAGGATCCCACCTTGGCGTTGTTGGCGTCGCTTGTCTCCTCGCGGGTCATGCGAGTGCCATACTCGTCGGTGGTGTCGTAGTTGAAGTGGTATGGTTGCGGGGGCTGTCGATTGAAGAAAAAATAGTTCGCGGGTTAAGTTTGCGCATTGGGAGGCAAAGGAATGTGTTTCAGTTCGCTGAAGTGTTTGAAGAGTTTATCAAAGCTTGAAATGTTTGAAAAGTTTATCCAAGCTTAAGATAGCCGGTGTTACAACCGTAGGTCTTGGAATCGTGAACTACTAGTTCGAGTTGTTGTAGCAAACTTTACAAAGTCTGCTATACTGGAAACCCTCCACAATCAGTGGGCGTACTGTACTTGGGCAAGATAATTATTGCAGTGTTACCTAATCCAGGATGACATCACTCATATTAACCACATGGGAGCATTCGAAATTACTTATCTCACTGCCGTAGCCTTCTGGCCGTATTTCGCAGCGGGTACTCTCTGCCTTCCGCACAGTAACTAGCACTCAAACGTCTTAAGAACATGCAGCGATATAACCAGGCGCCTAGGCTTGCGGTGTATAACACAAGATGCCCATAAAATTGCGTTTCCGTTGAGAACAACAGTTCGAAGTCAAGAGCACACGGAGTAAACCGCATTTTTTGGGAAATTTAGTTTACATTTTTCTAGCAGACACATAAGAGAGTCCAGAGTCTCCTACCCAAGATATCAATTCAATTTGAAAGATTTATTTATGACACCTTTAACTTCCCATAGCCTCGTAATGAAACGTTCCTTTTCAGTTAACTGCTGCTCGACGGGGTGGTACATGATAGGTGCAAAGTTGTTCTGTGCCTGCATTTAGGGACCATCACTGACAATCAGCATTATGCTTTAACTATTTAAAACTTGATTATACGCGGACGTTCTGAGTAATGCGTGCTGACTCTCAGTTCAGAGGTCGGCTCTTACATTGGTACACTTATAATTATGAATGCACATGTTTCTTCAGAGCCCAGTATACAATCAATATGTTTCAAGATTGTCGAACCAGAAAATGTTTCGCCTTCTTTTATAACTAAGTCAGGCAACTTACCGCCATCGGAAAAAGAAACTCTCAGAAAATAGTTGTGTTTATGTTCAAAATAACTTGATAACACGTTGTCTATCAAGATGAACAAGGAGTTTTAAAATATTTTTAACAATTTGGCATTTTATAAGTTATTATCAGAAATAATTTCTTAGGTTCTATTTCAACTCGAACCAAAATATCTCGCACTCGCCCTAGAGTTTTATTCACTATAACTAACAACCAGAATTTGTGGTTACATTTGGCTCTACGCGAAGGCTTTGAAGCACATGTAAGAAGTTCTGATTAGCATTAGTGTATTCTCACTTTTTGTCTGTTATACTTTTAGTTGGAATTAATAAAGCGCCGACGAACGTGCGACTAACGACATGAATTTGCTCTTATATAAAATACCCTTACCACATTCCGATTTTTTGTACAAAGATTCCTATGGTTGATAAAGAAAATAATGGACGCGTTATTTTCATACTCACATATTGCTCAACGACAGCCTGAGAAGCTACGTAAGCGACGAGACAGCACAGTAGAACCTGCAACGACACGACGGTTGATTAGAAGAACACTGGCTACTCAACTCCCTGCTGTAATCCAGTGGGTCAAACGGTTTCAGGTGGAACAGGTTCCGAACTTCAAGCACCTTGGTGAACATCGTGGACGAAGATGAAGGCAGTGGTCCTCTAGGCTCGATGATCAACCAAACTCCGGTTGATTTTTTGCTCGTCCACTCGGGGCTTTTATACTAAACCCGACGCATCCCCTCAAAAATCCCGGGTCTTAACTTTGTCGTCACATAGGTTCCTCCAATTGGCGGGAACGGGAGAACTTTATTATAATTAAAATTACTTTTTTTTTTTTTTTTTCAAATTTGGAAGGTCCTTTTTTTTTTGTGACGAGACGGGGGGCAATGGATGACTGCCACTTGCCAGGGCTGCGGCTTCGCGATCCCATCTCGAAAACGCTGCAATTTATGTGGAATCTCCTTTCTACGTGCGTCGCGAACCTCATTGTGTATACCCCGAGAAGTTGTCAATACGAAGAGAAAAACGCTATCTGATCGACTTTTTGTCTAGAGCTGGCTGAGGTTATACAAGGGACTGGTAATCCTCCCGAGCCTGGTGATGCGGGCCAGGGCTATTAAAAATGCCGCGTGCCTTGAGAAGCGACTATCGCGTGGAAATGGTTCAGGTAATCGAGCAGAAAACTGGCCGGCGTCCTAGACGATGGGCCTGGAGGACGACGTCTGCTTGTTTGTATTGTTGGCGACACTCAGCGTCGTACGCATTTTAATGAAAAGGTCGTTCTATAACCTTGTGGGACTATAATATGGTGTTACTGTCGCGTGTGTGGTCCGTAGAATACGCGCTCTTTGTGGTCTATCTCACGCATTTTTTGGCTGTTCTTTCGCAAAAGGGATTGTACCTTTTTGACCATATAAAAGGTTGTGGGCAAGCTTGTTTAGTCGCAATTTTGTTTACTTTTGATATTGGACTTGAGCCTTCAGTACAATCATTAAACTAACAGTATTTGCTTCCGAGACTAGGCCTTTCTATTACCAAAATCTCGCACTCACCTCCTCTTTAGCATTAGGTCGAAATGTGGGTTAACTTCGACCCTTCCTAGACCTGCATATGCACCTCCAAAAGGTTTAACTTTGTACACGCATCTATCTGTTTGGCGTAGTGCTTAAGCTAATAGTACAAGCTCTGAATATTTTCATTGTAATTGTAATTTTCATTTCATTTTTCATGCGCGTCGCTGCAGTGCCTCCAACAATCATAAAGCACGAGTTGAGTTTTGGCAAAGCTGAAGTGCTATAGGATGGTCTACACCAGTACAACTAAAACACTTTTCAATCACATGTGTCGAGGAAATAAATATTTCTTTTTTCCTGTACATTTTATTTCTTGAGAGACAGTGCCTTGAGATTATATGAGGTGGTGGTATTATCATTGGCAACATAAGAAGCGCGAGGTATGCCCAATATGTTCAAACCTCTTACTTTGTGATTACTTCCTCTTGGGTCATTTGGGCTAACATCACAATCTTATTCGCTCTCGGCCTATACTAAGATAATCAGGTCACGGTCTTTATGCCCATACATCCTAAGACAAATGGCGTCATCCCAGCCCATAATACTACTTTAATATTTTATTCAGATAAATTTAAAGAAAGAAAATAAGTTGTTTTATTTTCTGCACGTTTTATTACGCTTTTTACGTACTTGCATAGCAAAGCTGGTTCCTCTTTGTATTTGTAATGACATGTACATTACAATTCATTCAGCACAAATGTAAGAATGAGATATAAGACAGTAAAGCACCTAAACGTGCAATTCAAATAAACCTTACCAATTAACGAAACAAATAATGAATTCTAGTTTACCTTAACTATTACGCGGTATTTTCGTGTCGTAGAACTCTTATTTGTTTCTGGCGTATAAACACTCAGAGTTAAAAGTTAGAAGCAGCAACACAGTATTTATTGAGTTCATTCCGTTCATACAATTGGAAACTACAACCACTGTAGGTGCCTTTCCAAACGTGTACTTTAGCGGCCAGCATTGTGATAAAAATAAAAAAAATTATTGTGCTGAAATAATTTAAAAATACAATCAGTTAAGGGGCCTTTCCGAAGGTATACGTCAGAGGTACGTTACCACCTAAAGCAAACCGTGTCGTCCCGGCGCCCCCACGCCCCGCTGCAACGGCAGAATCAGGAACTTGCTGCGGCTGCACCAGGAACGAATGTTCGTTGAAGGTAACAGGAGCCACGAATCTAGCCGCAGACGGAGACGAAGTTGGTATCGGAGGCAATACAACCGGAACAGGGGTCAGTGCCCTAACTGTAGCCGGAACCAGTGGTTTAGAGCTGGCCAGATTTGGGAGGCCAACTGGGTGGGGAGGCTCAACTGCCTGGGAGTTGATCTGGACACCCGCGGGCGCCGACGTTTTGGTGCCCGGTTCGTTGGTATCAATAGTCACTCGGAATCCGTCCTTATCAGCGATGTAGTTGACCACCCTGTAGAGTCCGTTGGCGTCGCTGTAACTGTAGGAACCTCGCTTGACGTTGTCTTCGTCCCCTGTTTCGGACTGGGTGAGTCGCGTTCCTGATTCGTCCGTTGTGTCGTAGCCGAAGGAATAGGGGTACGGAGCCTGCAAATAATGAAATAATTTACGAGCAGAAAAGACCGATTATCCGCCATTTAGGAAAGAATTAAAAAAATAATAATAATCTCAGTCATCCACGTTTTCCGCATTATCTACATAATTTTTTTATTGGAAATCACAAATTATAAAAAGCTGCGATGAAGCTTCAGGAAATGGCTAAGCAAAGTAACGAGTTACATAGAGTATTTAACCACAGGTTCTGGTTTGCATTTAAATAAAATTTTAATGAATAATGGCAATTGAGGATGGAAGATGACACGGCGATAATTTAAAGGATGCTCTCAGAACCGAATTGACTAGAAGAGAGTATCTCTTCATTATGATATGGGTGTCACAGTGGTATAGTGTCAAGGCCAAAAACGCCTAACATTCTCACTCCGCGGTATCATAAATCGCATCGCTAGTTACGCCTTCCAGATTATAAACTTTGGGCAGGTTTTCCTATAAAGCATGAAACATTGAATAGTTCGTCTTTGTCATGCAAGAGCGAAAATTATATAACACAAGAACTAAAGACTATACTTCGTTTCACCTTTAGTCCGGACATAACGAACGCGACGAGCTGGTTGGACAAATTAAACAGGGTCAAAATCTGAAGTCGCTGGGCCTTCCGTGTACATGATTGGCTCAACGATAATGAGACATTTAGTGAAACTTGACGAATATCATGGTGGTTCACTTTTGAAGTTGCTTGATTTGTCCCATCAGCTAGCAGCGTCAGCTCTGTCCGGATGTTAATCTTTCTCAGTCCGGTGTACATAATAAATATCAATGTTTTCAAAGTGTGGTGTCGAAAAAAGCACGTGTGGGAAGCTTTTACACTTTTTTTTCAACGTGTATCCTTAATTTGAAGGTAAAAATCGGGAGCGATAAAATACCTATTGCTGTACTAATGTGTTATTTCACCGGGATCTGAGCAACGTGCGTATTCTGACTGTACACGTAGTATTATATAGTAAATAAAGATAATAAATACAAATTGACATATTTTATAACAATTCGTGATAATAGAAAGATAGCTAATTCTATTAGCTAGATAACTAATGCTGCTGCTATCAGTCGTCGAGCGTATTCCAACCGCACTCTTAATGCGGCGGGAATATGCTAATAAGATCTCATATACACCACACATGTATCCCTGTGACCATGGGTAGCTTTTGCTTTGCATATCAATTGAAAAAATGACAGGCTAATAATTGGTGCTTCCTAGACGTCTTATGGTAATACCATAGGTGAGTAAATTAATCGTCACACACACTTTGACTAGTACATTTACGCAGTTTGCAGTACCGGGCTCTTACAAACCCAAGCTGCAACGACCAACAGAGAAAACTTTAATCGCGAAAGTTATTGTCTAAGCGCCTGGAAGAGTAAACTTATCTGCTCCGTCCCATATAACGTCAGAAGGCGTCGAGTATACAAAGACTCAACCCTCTATTTACAATTATCATAAGCATACAAATGTACATATATATATTTTTTTTTAAAATTTCTAAATACCTCAAGGAATAAACTAAATGCAACCCATTTCTATATTGGATCTTGCTAGTTTCCCGCGGTGCTGCGGAAGCCTCGGGAGGGAGAAAGAGGAAAGCCACTTAAGACTTGTGAATTATTACCTGCTAACATTAACACTCTTATGCTTCTACCTTTGGTAAAAGTGCGCGCAACTAATGATATAACTATAAAAAATAAAACGTTAATTGTGCTGCGTCATCCAGAAGCAGCTGTCATTCGCTTTGGATGTGACTAGGTAAAGCATTATCTACGATATACTTTTATGATTGTGCTCACACCGTTTGCAACGGTACTTACATAGACTCCGGAATCGTCATTGTGGTCTTGTGCCATGGAAAGGCCGAGCAGGCTGATGAGCAGCGCCTGTTCCGATCATTGCGTTACTCCATTGCAACAGTTAAACTGTTTCCGTCGGACATCGCGCGACGTCCAAAGGAAAAGCAGATGGGCGATGTTTCGGAATTTGTATGTCACTAATATTTAGACAGAAATGCTGGATGGGCGATCTCTCAGGGGCGGGCGTTCTCTCGGGACTTTAGACTCAATTTCACTCAAAACTTCGAGTGCAACCTACGCTACAGAATCGAATGGAGCCGATCAAGCCGTGCAAAGGTGCATCGTAACGCCGCTCGTTGGCTTTTGTGAGTTTTCGATCCCCAGCTCGGAAAAAGGGCGTATATTCACTGCGTGTGATTGGTCTATTCGGTGGAAGGGAAACGCGGAAAGACGACGAGCGCTGTGCAGATACACTTTTGGTGCTACCTGATTGGCTCCATCGGGATCGTAACGCCGGCTGCTCCCGCAGTGTAAGTAAGACAGATATAGACCAGATATTGTACTTACAAAAGGTTGTAGAGTTAGACCGTTGTAATGGGTACAACACGTATAATGTTGGCGATTCTCAATGGGCCATGTGTTGTTTTTTTAGTAACGAGCGCCGTCTGGGGAGTTGTCTACAAACTTAAAAGGAAGGGACAGCTCAACATGCCTCATCCCGTCTGAACACACGAGCATAGTGCCGTTGTATCGGTTTTCAGTTCTTTTTTACAACCCATGCTACCTATACAAAAAAAAAAAAAAAAAAAAAACGAAGCGTCAAAATAGACTAAATACGTTCGAAGATAGATGCTGACAATGTTGGTCGAGGACGGTGCCCCGCGAAAATGGCGACAGCGAGAATATAGGCCTAGGGAGGGAGTGCACGCATGCGCAGTAGCTTACTGAAAAAAAAAAAAGAGGTCCATCGTGTTCTCTATTCTCTTATGTTTTATGCTTAGCGCTTTAAATTTAACGCAAGGGTGGAACTTTACAGTGTCCTGCGCTGACAAGTCAGGGGCTGAATGCCTCAGATCGTCTTTTTAACCTCCCTTCATTTTTTGTTAGAATTCACTGGGGTTAAAAGTAACAAGAACAATACTTGCTAAAAGAGAAACATGGAGCCTATACTTGTAAAACAATTTAGTGGCACCAAGCCGTCGTGCTCATAGTATGTTAGCCATAAGGAGGCTCTGCTTGAAATTCTGATCAATAAACTGTCCTGAATATTTTACAGTTCTATCATTAACTGTTACGCCTAGTGTCTTAACAGCTTACCTCGAACAGCATCTTGAGTTCGATTATGTCCACAGCCTCTTTGTCCCGGATCTCCGTAAAATGCTACAGAGACTGCATTGGCTTTTATACCTACACCTAGTGCATGCCCGAAGAAAGTGCGCTCAATATAAATCACGCCATAGATTCATAACGTACTTATCGTCGCTTGTCTGGAGTTGCATCAACCAAAAAACAGGAATATGAAACAGACGTTCGATGCCCTCTGAGGTAGCGCTGTGCCAATATTTCCACACAGTCGAACGCGTCTTCACTACGCCCCCAATGGGCATTTGAAGATGGAGTGCTTCCTTCCTTTCTGTAAACATTAATTCTCTGCGCCTCGGTGCGATGAGGCACTTGCCGCGTCTTCTAGCTCTAAAGTCTGCTTGATCGAAAAGCCCAAAGTCTCCGCGCAACCCACGCAACAGAGAACGGCTGCTGCTCAGACAGGAGGTGACGTATTCTCGGCTCGGAGACCCTTTTCGCGAGAAGTCAAGGCAATTTGCTGCCGCCAGACACGTCCTTATGTCTGTTTCAGTAACTTCCTCGGAATCGGGAGCCGAAGGTATAGAAGCATTCCGGACGTGTGTTTGATGAATAACATGATTTGTATATTTATCAATTTGTAAACATTTGACATTGGCACTGGTTGCGTGGTATTCTGTGATCTATGCCTGCACAAACAAGGATATTGGGGGAGCATTTGAACAGGACGTGCGTTATTTAGCAACATTACCTGATAAAAAGAAATGTGAGGAGAAAACGATTTTCATCCTCAAAGTAAACAGACAGTTTAAACAGATAAAGACATGAATATCTACCTCTCCGTCGCTCGCGTAGATGCAATGATCGCTGCCAGCTAAGTATACCACTGGAACGTAAGAAACCGGAGTACTCTTTTGCTCGGCATATTTAATCCTTGAATATTTTGAATGCAAAAAAAATTGCTTAATGTTTCTGTAACGTTCACATCTATTACACAAGAGCACTTTTCTTTAAAGACACTCATTTCTGATCCATTACTTCTACCACCGATTGAAATGATTTATCTTTGGTACACAATAGCATGATTGTTATGTAATTGCTAAATAATCTTTACGTAATAAACATAATTGTAGTTGAACCACATAACTAAGTTTTTGTGTGTGTGTGTGTGTGTGACCCTTCGTTATCTATCGTTACAATGCATTAATATCGTTACTATGCGCTCCTTAAGGTTCCACGGAACCTTAAGGAGCGTATAGTAACGATATTTTATTAAATTTGACTGAAAGAACGAAATGGGTAACATGCTGCGTCCGTTGTAAAGCTCATTTAAGACAAACATCACGTGAGCTATTATTAGTTATTAATTGAATGAGATAAATGTCAGACCGTGGCTCGCGGTTTCCGATGAAGCCTATAACTTCAGTGGAATACCGTCCTCAAACTTCGAGACGGTGTGTTGTACCTGTCTTCCCATTTTTTTTCCCTTTTGCTTTAATCAACAAAGGAAATGTTAGAGTAAACTTTAACTTGAATATAAAAAATCTCGCTTTTTTATATGAGGAAAGTTTGTGATCAATTTCTTGCTTAGGAAACTCCTAGTTTCTATCCCTGAATAAATAATTGAATAAAACTCAAGTTTCATCCTCCTTTAGAATGTCACACAAATAAAAGTATATCACGAAAATTTGTGTAGGTGTGGTCAGAACATTCAGAGAATGACTCTGCGGCGTAAAAACAAAGGGCAGCACAGTGGTGCACGCGCAGCAGTCGAAGGCAGGTACATTCCTGCGTCATTATGCCAAAGGGCGTCGCTTTGTCAACAGTTAAAACTGCGCTATACGTGTTTGTTTGACCACATGCACGCGCACAATGGTGATCTCTCCATACTATAGCCAAAGCTAGAGAGAACATCAATTTTACTTTGAACTTGGCATATCTAAAACAGAGACCTCCGAAATGATTTAGAAGGCTCATTTCAAAAAGCGCTGAGGTGTGCGAGATTTTTTAAGTGGCACTCGCGCCTCAAGAATGGCAGCACGTCACTGAAGTCAAGGCGAAGTCGGATGAGGTCGCACTACCGCCCTTCGTCTTCCACCGATGTCCTGCCGTTCCTGAAGCGCGAGTGCCACTTAAAACACTTTGCGAAATCCACTGCTTTGACACAAGCCTGCTGAACGACTTCAAAGGTTTATGTTTTATATTTGCCGAGTTTCACGAAACCTTGATGTTCGCTCTCGCCCTGGTTTGCAGTCTTTCGGGAAATCGCCATTCTGCCCGCGCACGTGGTCACAAAAGCTGGTGTTGCACAGCTCTGAATGTCCAAAGAGCCATGCCCATTAGTATGACGAGACACAAAGATCCCTTCCCTTGACTTCGATCTGTGCGCTCATCGCTGTGCTGCACACTCTTTTTACGGTAAAAATTAGTCTCCGAAATCTTTGATCACACTTCAAGTGCCCGCAATAACGTGCCATTTTTTGCTTAACTATTCCATGATTAATAAGACGGTTAAAGACGTGAGTTGCTTAATAAAAAAAATATACTCAGACTAGAAGTAATGTCTACACGCAACAGTGAACAACCTGGGGAAAAGTAATCATTTGAGCTCTTATTTTTTTAGAACACTGCCACAACAATAAGGACGGCCTGATCGTACATTCAAAGGATTGTGCTCAGTGTTTTAGTCTGTGATCGTGTTCTACGTTTTCAACCAACCATGGAGATGCGGTGGGAAAGAAGCTCACAACGTGCTGGCGGGCGACATAAAAAAAAGCTTAAGAACGTTTTACAGTACATTAAATTCAATACTGACGGCAATATATCATTCTTTTCGAAACAAATATATCTAGGGTTCCACGGAATCATGTACAAAAGCTCTACAACACATTCTAATCTACATGGCTTTACCCAAAATCTGACTTCAAAAAGTATCCTCTTATACCGCTCTTAATTAATCTTCGCAATACATGTATAGTCTAGCGACCATAGCAAGCAGAAACATAGGACACCAGAACAAAAATAACAATATTTAGTTTGCAATTAATTTACGAAAAACAAAAACGTATCTGACATTCGACGTATTTGTAGTAGCCTTAAATGAGACATTAACAGGGCATATCTTATACAGTATATTCATAATCAGAATCCAGAGTCTATAAATATTTCGGTGATAAATTATGACTTTCCGACTGCGATTTATAGGGTCTTTTGGATAATCCGAAACAATTGCTCTAAACACAATCTAGTTGTAAAGTTGTAAATTTAAAGGCGGTTACGTAAATAACATGAGTTATAATTTAAAACTTGTCGAAAGAGACTTCCACACGTAACTAACAATTCCTCCGATTCTTCTTCCGGCCAAGCCGAAAAGACGCCTCGGCTGTGCAGCAGAAAAGTGCTTGAGGAGAGACCTACTTCGTGTGTCCAAAGCTGGATTTAACGCGTATCAAAATATTGAATGCACGCTATATATTTCAAGGTTAATAAAAAGTATTATTGTTGTTGGAGATTTAACTCATAAGGTTGGGGAGTGAGGCCCTAGAGAAGAATTATGTATGATTAGATGGCGAGTTTTTCCAGTCGACTTGCAATGGCGTTCGTGTCGGCGCGTCCATCTAGTGGGAAGAGTAAGCAACCACGGCTTCCTCAAGGTCCCAATGGCGCCCGTAACCCCTGAAGTGCTTTCGCAGGGGACCAGTTTTACTGGATTTACGTAAATAAAATACATAGACTATATGAAGAATGTCTGCACATCGCCTTGGCTGTGAAAAGTGAGA